GAGCGTGCCGTGACAGCATCTGACGAGTGATATATACAAGTTTTCGAATCTATACTTAAGGATGTTATGCTTAAATTATTTTAAGACAAACAAAGGCATGCCATATTATGTTATCTCATACGATTTAATTCAAATGGACCCTATCCATTATATCTGATAAAAGATTCCTAAAGCGTTCAAAGGAACTATAAGACTAAGTACGCGATGGATCTTTCGTCGAGGTCGAATGTCATATTATGTAGTTTTAAAGATATAAAGTACATTCATACTAACATTTAAAAAGAATGAAATAGAAAATAAAAGAGACTAAAAAATTAAATTTAAAATATTAATCATTATATTTGATCAATTTTGCATTCACGGTGCTATACTGATAATTCATTTAATGAAAAATTCTTACGAAATCCACCAGTCCCAGGTACAGATACCCCGAGGTGGAACTCGAAAAGATATTCTTCGAATCTAACCGAGGCTCTTTCATTAAAGATAAATAAAACTAACGAATGTAATAAAGTTTTAAAAAGCTTATAAAAATAAAAAATAATTCACGTAACCTCAATTTATATTACTCTACACTTTTATTAAGCTCTTTACAGCTATATTAATTACTTGTTTAAGGTACTCATTATATGTAAGCAGATATGAAAACCATTTAGTTAATTAGTAACTCAGTTTTGTTTGTACTATATTCGATTACAAATCACAGACTTTTTCCAGCTCAGCGCAAATGTACAATGAATATTATGCCTACTCTTCTCACACTGCCACTTTTCCTGAGATCATCATAATATAACTTTTATATATGTAAAAATAATCTCATGATAAACAAAACGCATCAACCATATATCCCATCTTATTAGCCAAATCCTATTGCGTCACAGTAACAACCGCTGATTGGGTCGTCACGTCTAGATTAACCGTGAGAGAGGACATCACTCCGACGAGGGTACATTGTAACATCACGGCACGTCGGAGACTCGTCAATGTAACTTTCTTCATTAAAGTCAATTGCTCGTAATGCTCACTAGTGTGTTAGTGAGGATCTATTTTGCTCACGTTAACCAGTGACCATCATTAAATATGTTTAGCGGGTTCTTCTCGTAAATGATTAAGTTAACGACAAAATATTATATTAATTAATTACGCTACAAAAAATATAAAGAATTAGATTGTCACTTAATATCAGCCGTCCATATTATTTGCGTTTCAGCGTCTGGATATTATGCGCCAACTTTAATGGCGAAATTTTTTTTGAATGGCTAAATCATTTTATAACTTCTATTAAACCCAACAAAGATGATTATGTTTTACTTTTGCTAGATGGACATAAAAATCACACACAAAACCTGCTCTTAATTGTAAAGGCTAGACAAAATGGAGTGATAATTTTAAGTTTCCCCTCTCATTGCACACCTAAGATACAGCCCTTAGATGTTAGTTTTATGGACTTAGAAATAATCCAGACAGAGATGTCACACAGTTTCAAATATGGAAGCTTTTTGGACTTGCCTATTGAAAAGCAGCATCAATGCAAAATGCTGTATCTGGTTTCAGTAAAACAGGTATTTATCCAACTGACAGGAACATGTTTGGTGAGTCAGATTTTGTTGCTGCTGAAACGACAGAAATAACTATCTGTGCTGAAACTAATAGTGTGTAACAAGACCCTCCTCCTGCCACTACGAGCATCGCACACCGTAAATACCCCATTAAGCAATGAAATAAAGATGTGTTCTTCTTCTTCTACTCTGCTTGCTACAATAAGAGTGAAATCAAAAGTTCCCAAAAAAATAATTGAAACACCGGCTGATATCATGCCAGTTCCAAAAATAAATAGTGCAAAAAGAAGAAAAACTAATCACCGCAGAGTGCGGTGATAACTTCTCCTTATAAACAAGAATTAATAGACTTGACACAGAACAAGAAAAGGAAAGAAACTTTTTATTAAACTCAATCAGCCACGCAATTAAAGCTCTCAATGACCACAAATAATGACAACCCCGGGGCAAAATCGGAATTCGTTGAGAGTACGTTTTTGTTGATTTATTTCTGTTATCAAGAGGATTAATACTCGTACATTATTTTTTGCCAATTCCTGTAGTTAACGAGAGTTTTAAATAAACGTGTTAATTACAAATACATTACTTTTATTTATTTACAATTTATATGGGTATGTCCTTAGCTATACGGTTTTGACCTGGTCTCCCCTACCAAAAGTCCTTTGTATAGAATATATTCTATAAAACATAGATCTAAAAATAACCAGACAAAGTGGTACAGTAGATACTGACGTACAATGATATTAAATATTAGTTGTGAATTTCATGAACTTAATATGATATGATAACTTAATATGTTTCTAGAATAGTCCGACGGCTTCTATTTAATTAAATAGATGTCCCTATTCAAACACATACAATACATAAAAGCATTCGTGTAATTAGCAACCTGTTTGCTTATCAGAAACCCCACTATAATATTTGCAAACAATAATATGCTAATGTAACGAGAATCCATCTCCACGATGGCGTTTGGAAGTAATGGCATAAGTCCTGTTATATTACATGTTGCTTCCTGTTCTGGAGTACATTGTCACTCGTGCCTTGAACTCCTATAACTTCGATAATTTTCTAGACTGTGCGTGCGATGACGCATACGCACAGGCGCGCTCACATACAAAACATTTTCGGAGCGTATTGTATGAAGAGCACTCTTTATACTCTGGTTAATTCCTCTCCTTTTCATCTTTACGCAGACGACCTTCAAATCTATAGGCACTTCTCTATTAACGATACTCTGGATACTATTGATGTCCATAAACATTATAATTTATTTTATCAAACTCTCCCAGTCATTAGTCAGTCGAAGAAAAAATATAATATTCACCTCTTTCTAAAGATAACAATAAATTACTATTGCATAGTTGGGGAATAAAATATACATATACAACACTTATTCTAACTAATCTGTCCTTGTCAGGAGAACCATTGGATTAAATAAAGAATTACAAAAGAATTAATATCAATTTGTCGCAAAGCTAACATCTAGACGCTTTACTAATTAATAGGTACATAGTGTTAATAGTTACAATTGCTAAGTTGACATGAAGTAACATGATACTTTTATTAGTTACATCACTGTCAACAATTCCGTATGGAATTTGGAGGACTTGAAATGACCTAATTCGTTAAGTGTACTATATTTTTGTGCGCTGCGTTTTAACTACAATTAGCGGTTAATAGATTATAATTGCGCCATTTTCTCTGTAAGCATCTATGCATCTATCTATGGTTTATTAAAACAAACCTGGTTCTTCACTTTAAAATTATCATTGTCTTAAGGTTTAATTCCAGTTTGTTTAATAAAAGCTGAATCTAAATATAAACCTTTTTTTTAACGTCGAGGAAATGCGTTAGGCACCAGCATAGTGACTGACTGAGCCTTGATTCTAACTATAGCTTTAAAAAAAATTATTGTTTTTATCAATAAAACTGTTGATATTCTTTTAAAATTAAATATGTATAATTTTTTTATATTTTGATTAAAAAATTAATATTTAATAGGGGAAAAATAGGGGGAAATATATAAAAATTTTATCAAAAAATGTGGTTTATTTTTCTTTTCGAAATAGCTTTTTGTCTTAAATCGACATTTTGTAAATGTTATCTAACTCTAATAACTCAGTAAACTAAAACAACCAAAAGCATTGATTCTCTCCTGTTACCTGCTTAGTAACAGGTGGTATGTAGGACTCCTTCGTTAACCCATCCGGCAATGAGCTGCCGAGTTAGTCCCCGGAGGGCTACCTATCAAAACCCTTACGATGCACCCTCTCCCGGCAAATGAAACCGGGGAAGCTCTGGTTCAGTCACCAGCGAAAAAGACATTTGGGTGTAGACAAACTCTACAATTCGTCATGCTACAAGTGCTCGACATTCACCGCCAAACTAAAGAAAACTTAAGCGATCTTACTAATTTCATATTCATAAAACTTAATGGAATGTCCATTCCAGTCAAAACATATTAGGGAACACATACAAAAACTAAAACCCAAATTTATATTTTAGTTTATGAAGATCAACAAGCTTCTCTGGATTTAATTGAAGAAATTTTTAAATAATTCAAAAGTTAGGAGAGTAAAGTCAAAATCATATGCTTTTGTTTGATTAATTAAGCAGGAATATAATCAAATATTTGAATATTACCTGTAATAGAATACTGAAATAATTTTCTAAATTATCCATAGAAATTTTAATACACTTTGAAATAAAACAAGCGAATCCGTAAAACGATCGCAATTTTTTCTGGACTTATTGACAATTTTTAAATAAATTTAAATAAATGAAGAAGAAATTCAAATATTCCATATTAGAGGTTACTTTCCTATAAATTTTATATACAGTGGACCTGCGATGATCCGACAAAAGTTACCACTGCAGGGACTCAGGCCTGCCTTATGGATAGTTAAGGCAGATGTACTATAAACCTCTACACCGGCCCAATGTGGATTATGTGGTGTTAACAACTGCAAATACGGCTGGGACCAAAGGCTTGATGTGCCTTCTGAATCATTAGAACAAATTATCATCTTTATCGAAAGTTTAAATATTTATATAAACATTTCTATCGACTGTTTGAGTGGATTGCCTGAACATTGATGATAGTACCCTCTGTAGTAGCGAAAAAGTAACATTTGCTTGAAAAATTCGTCAGTCCTGTTAGGTCCTAGGTAGCACAGTGTTTGAGCAGTCGCCCGAATTTTGAAAGGTCATTGGTACGAGTCACATATCAGAGCGCCAGAGACAATTTGGATTTTTAAGCATTTTTCATTAAGAATTTTCGAAATAATATTTTTTTGGTCACCCATCCCTTTGCGAAGGTTGTTTAACAACGAGCTACTCTTTTTTGTACAATCAACAATAATACGTGAGCGGGTTCACATGGGGCATTGGATTAGACAGGGCCGGATTATCGCAGGTCTGTCACTGTTATCATATTACCTTTGATTCCAACATCTTTGGCGCCACCGTATCTAGCGAAGACAAAGTACAGTACCAGCAGTACCAACTGAAACACCATCAAAGGTGCATACTTAGCACCTGCAAACTTTAGCACCATTGTGGATTCTTAATCTGCAAATAAAATAATCTATTTTAACTACTATACTTACGAACCAAAGTTAAAACCGCATAAAATACGTTGTTTATTTTAAAAATGCACAGCAAGTAACGATTTTTATACTATGTATAGATAGGTAGTACAAAATACAACACGATGTGCCGTTTGTGCCCCTTTAGACAATTGATTTAAATTTAGATTCGGAAGGAGATATATGTTTGGGTCCGATTAGTAAATGTTATACAAATCTTGAAATTTGTTGGCAAATGTAAAAAATTTATGAAATAGAGACGATATTTCGGGCTCTCGCTTTTATAGTTTGGAACATGCTAAGTTCGACCAATGGCAGTTGGTAAATGTTTTAAATTTCAATTACCTGTCTCTACGTATATTACGATTAACACTATTAGCAATAGAATAACACAAAATGTCTTAAAATTTAACTTAAAAACAAACATTAATAACCTAACGCTTTGATTAGATAATATATTCTCTTTCTTTTATTATTATTAATGGCTTAATTGCGCTTTTCTCACTATTCTGCCAATGTCAAATAATTTACAATGACATTTAAACTCAAAGAGTATTATTTATTCAATTATTCAATTATTAATTCAATTATGATTTATTCAAAGAGTAAAGTATTTATTACCTACTCCTGATCTTAAAGCACAGACACTAATAAATAGCAATTGAAACTACTTCTTTAGATACTTTATAAAGAGAATATTAAGATGCACTAATTAGTTCATGAAACATAATGAACTTTGCTTTACCAGTTCCCTCATACTTACAAATTACTATAACACAATACTCTGTTCCTACGTTGCTCAATTCTAACAACAAAGCGCCCGATAAAGATAATCTGGAAATGATACGAAATAGACCATTATGTTTTCATCGATTAAAAGTATACATAAATTGTGATTTAAATATATAAATAGAGGTACTAATGCAACTGTAATCTTTTACAAATTAAGTTAAATATATTATGAAAGAAAACTACTCAAAATGGCTCTTTGCCTATTATTTCATGTAATTATCAGGATTTCGATCCTTTTTTGATACTTTATCGAAACTTTACTGATATTTCGATGTAGTATTCATAGTTGAATAAATCGGAAATTTCTCATGTAAAGTTTATCAATGTACTTTAAGGTAAGTTTTTTGAACACTTTATTTCAATTCAATTCAATTTACAATTCAAAAAACTAACATTTGTCAACATTCAATTCCAATATCGAAGTCTTTAAAATCACAAAATACGAAGTCAGGTGAAATTATCGAAGCGGAAGGAACGATTCAAACAATTTTTCATTCGACTACTCCTTACTTTGGACGACGATTAAAATTCAAATATCGTTCAGAAAGTTTCTATTCGATAGTTACTAACTGCCCACTGATCAGATAATAGCGAGTATAATTTCGATTCCAGCAATTCGGAATCGACGGTTGCGGTCGTTATGCAACCGAGCGCACACTCTGTAATAAACTTGTATAACTTTAAACTAAAACTTTTTTCATTCTTAATTGAGTCTTGTTAAAAACTCTTTTATTGGTCGGTTCCCATAAATTATTTTTTAATTATGTGTATCGATATAAAACAAAATAAAGGAGGCTCGCAATTAAATCATTTCTCTGGGTCATATTATAACATTACATTGCGCATAAAGATTACCTAAATGATTTGTTTTTTAAAATAAGTAGATTACTTTTTACTATACAATATTTTATAGTTACACACGTAGATGAAACATAAAAGTAATTTTCACACGGCTATTCTTTAATTGTTAATAGTTGAATAGAATTAGTTATTTATATTTGTACACATAACTTTTTTAATACGTTGATAATATTTAATTAACACAGCAAACTCAGCTTGTTAGAAGTTAAGCACTTTTTGTACCCTGAGGTCTACACAAATATTGTTCACTTACTAAAAACTTAAAAAAAACACAGTTATTCATTAAGTATATAGAAGAGTCATTCATTTATTTAATGTCAGCCCCAATAAATATAATCCAACTGGTTAACATTTCTAAAATTATCGCAAAAGAGTTTCAAAGAAATTAAATAAATTTTAGATGAAACCTACCTTCTTATGGCTGAAACCCAGTGTGACTATCAACTGACGATGTCACTAGATTCACCGAGCCCCCAACCATCAAACAAACATGATCTGTTGCCTACGAATTGGTAATTCAGACATTTGCGTTTATGACCAATAAAATTTAAATTTAAATGGATGCTACTAAGTATATAAAACCAAATAAATAATAATAAAATTTCAGACCCAATTTATCAAAATACGTAATATTTAAAGTGCCATTTTTAAATTACGTTTGATCAATTTTGCATTCAAAAAGGTTTAAATAAATTTCACAGTTCGGTATCTCGACCTGTGATTTTTTTCTAAATCATTCATGTTAAAACATAATAACAAAGAAAATGCTTTTTATGTTCTTAAACAGCTCATATAATCTTATGAAATTTCAGTTTCTCAGCGTAGGATACGGTTTAAGGTGTAGAGCACTAAAGACTCTCTCGTGAATGCAGCACTCGAATGGAGCATGCTCATTTCTCGTGCACTTTTCTCACGTTCACAGAAAACGGCAAGGAGCGCAACCTCATTATTCCAAGAATTTTTTATGGAACAAAAAATTTACGAGTAGTACCATTTTGAGATTGGAATATTGGACTTTTTATCGCGCTACAGATATTATATTTAGTGCCATGACTATCTTGTAAATATGAAGAAAATTTTCATTTTGCGGCAATAACTAAACTCCAAATACGATAACATGCTTAGATTAAAAAAGTTTATCAATTTTCTTAATATTTTTAACATCAAACGATATAGACTTCAAATTGCTTTCAATAATTATTAACATTTGCTTTTTAATGACCGCATTTCTGGGCACAGGAGATATGGATGCAATTGAATTGAGTAGATTATCTCAATTCAATTCCATTCATATCGCACGAGTGCTTAGTGCCAATTCATGGGTGATTACGACTACAAATGCAGCAGAGACCGATGTCTCAGCATGCCTCATGAAGCACAGAAGAGATCAAGATGAAAAAATTTTGGTCACCCATCCTGTAACTAACCCTTGGGAACATTCCTAAATTTCCGCATCGCAATCTACGCTAACGATTACGCCAATGAGCCGCGCTTTATATAATATTTTACTTGCAATGTAAGTTTCTATCTTAAAAATATATTTAATACCTACTATAACTGTATGGCAACTTTTTTTCTATTTCTGAAAACCTTTAGATAAATTAATGAAATAACGAATCGACAAAATACTTACAACATGTCAATTTGCCAGTGTCACGTCATGTGGGGGACAAACACCACTTATCGCCAGTTAGCGTATCGAATGCCCTTGCACTTAAAATTTTACAATATTTATTAATAGAGCACGAAAATTAGTTTCTTTGACGTAGGTTCCAAATCAATTTTTTTATTCGTACTGTACAAAAAATACTAATTTAAATCATAGCTACGATAAAAATAAAAAAATGAGGTAGCTACAGGCAATCAAAAAATGCTATGGTAAGATTACATAGGGTTACTTGCACCAACTTACTTTAACTATAACAAACATGATAAAGTATCAGTTATGCAAATCATAATGAGTAATCATTTGGCAGTGGTTGGATAACGTCATAATTTTAACAGTATTTAGTAGTGCTGGCTATAATTATTGTTTTACTATGGATAGCGCAACGCATTCCGCAGTCAATATCAAAGGCATCGTGACAGATATTGTCAAATTTGACAGTTACCTAAACTTTGACTGTTATAATCGTGCAATCCAGCTTTAATACTCTAAGGTTACCTGTAAAAAAACTACTTACTATTCAGATACCAGGCTGTTTTTAAACTGGTTTCACTAACATCAAAGCAAGTGTTTATCGAACTGTAATATTAGAAATCAACAGTGTTAATCTGTAATAAATTGAGCCTAGAACTGGACATCGAGCACAGCGCAGTCACAGCATAGAGATTCAATTAAAACCTACTTGAAAATATTATAAAGGTTAATGAACCTCCATGATGTGTAAGTGCTATATATGACGAAGATTTTATATCAGAATAGCAATAGCAGGACCAGAGAAGAACCTTGAATAAACATTGAGATAACATTATAATGAAAAAATCTCTAAAAATAATAATAACCGTTGAAAAATTTCAATCTTTACTAAATTACACTAACACAGAGTGAACACTACTAAGTAAAGTAATGTTGGTATTATATTAAATATAAAAATATTTCTTTACAACTGCATTTTTTTCTGTGATTAAAAATGTATGAAATCATGCGAGCGCGTCTTTAGTTTCGATGCGTATTTTCCTTCCCACGAAAGCGGAGTTACAAGAGGGCCTTAACAAAATCATAATGAAGAGTAAATAGCAAACTAATAACAAAAAAAATATCTATTCCAAATAGCATGGATATCTTTATTGCCCAAATTCTTATCATATTAAGTGTTATATTAATTTAGCTCTTATCCAATAAGACATATTTTCCTCTTTAGCAGTAACAGGTAAATTCATTTACTGCAGAGTTGTGATAACCAGATTATGACTTGAATTACTTCGACTGTTGCCTACTGAGATCGTTGAAGGTCTTGACAAACATACTATCTGATATTAAAAGATTTGTTACAATTACACAATGTAAAAAGTTATATAATTTCGTAAAAGGAATTAAAATTTATGACAATGTTTACATTTATTAAATAAAAAAAAATACATTTGACTTATTTATTTATCTCTGGCTATCGTAATATATCACCAGTTCCAACTTTGGAAGTCTTCTCTGAGAAGAACTGCTCCCTTTGATTCAATATTTACAGAATGCACTAACTGTATCTTTTAGTTTCAAATCAAAATCCAAAAAAAAATCCAAATCACACATTGCATTTAGATTTTTTTTTGACTAATTATTGGACCCCAAGCCGGTGGCATATGCTAACCTTCATCTCTATTAAAATTCGCATGTTTTTTTATTCATTTCAATAGCCTAACGTATAATTCTGGGAATGAATATTTGCTCAGCCGTAAGTATTTTTGGATCTTAATGCTTGGGTCCTCCTAACGCATGTTCACACACTGCAGATTTATTTTTGCACCTAAGCCTAAGGTCAGCTACATGTTCCCTAACGCGAGTTCCTATACGCCTCTACGTCTGCCCGATATATATCGCATTCTGGTTTGTATACACCTGCAACTAGAAAGGAGATATTACATTTGACAGGTCTTAAGAATTGGTTAACTTGCTTGGGCGGCTTAAGTAAGTATTGATAGAAGCTCGCTTTAATATCTTTCAAATCTTGTCTGTGACACCTTTAATGTATGGAAGTACAGCAGTCTGACGCTCGACTGTGGTAGTCTTGACCCGTTTTTTGTGACTGAGGCGTGGTATAAACAGTTTGTTATCCCGCAGTCTTGCTTGACATGCAGAAGCTCAGCTGTCAGGTGTTGATTGTCACAGATGCCTTATGCTGTCTGAAACAAAGAATTCCTTACGGTAGCTAACTGTTTAGGATGATGGTGTGTGGCACTGTTGAGAAACCTATCAGTATGTGATACTTTACGATACACAGTATGGCTCAAACTTTGATCAGGATTCCTAATGAGTAATATATATCTAAGAAGGCTAGTTTGTCTGCCTCTAATTCCATAGTAAATTGGATCTTTGAGTTTTTATTATTAAGATGGTTTAAAAAACAGAAACTTTATCCATTGGTAAGACAATAAAGGTGTCATCTATGTACCGTTTATGAAAATATCGGCGACTATGGGTGATATAAACAAACGCGATGAAACAAACCGTTTAAAAGATGTTTCATTTATTAATAATGTACTTATATTTAGATTTAGAATAGTCCATATTCCAAATTTAATTATAGTCCGTTTAATAGTTGTTACGTGAAGTTATTATAATAAACATTCAAAACTGCAAAATTTCGTGTTTGTAATATTAGTAAGTAACATTTACGTCAAGACTTCGTAATTTATTACCATCAATATTTGGCGATAATATTTATATTTAAGGAATTTATGATTTTTACAAATAAGTTTTGTAACCCAATTAATTATGTATATTTCGTTTAAATTTGCATTACAATCCTATACTGATATCGTCTTTTTATAAAACGAGGTCTTACTTCAGTACCAGGTTTAAACTTAATCTTCTGCTTTTTTAACTCATGATCTATTTCCTTTTACAATACCGCCAATGCCATGTCATGAATAGTGGCCTTTACACGTAAAAAGACAAAAATATGATAACTTTGAATGTTGAGGTAGAAAAACAAAAAACATACTCTAAACTCTAAGCACATATCATCATCATCATTACCAGCCTATTGATGTTCAATAATGGGGTTCAGACCTCCCCTATAGATCGAAATGAATAGGAAGATGATGAAAATGCCCTCCAGGGCACACCATGCTAACACAAAGCGGATTGGTGGATACTAACGACTGCAGATACAGAACCAACGGTCTACCTCATACTATTCATCACTCTTATTTAAAAAAAATCACTATTATTTTTACTCTAAGTACATGTTACAATGTTTTGCTTTTACAAGATAAAAAACATCAAAAAATTTTGGACGATTTAAAAATGCTTGCAATGAGCTTATTATACAATAAAGAATGTTTTAATTTCATTTTTTCCATCTCGTTACTTAATTTACTAAAGAATCACTGCAATAAATATATTTAATTAAGACACAAGAAAAATTTATAGAAACGAAAACTCCAGAACAAATCTCTCAATCCGTAGATAGAATCCTGCCTAATCCCAATGGAGTTGAGGCAATTTTTGACTTCCCGTCATTGCATCGTTCTCAACTCCAAATTGTACGCTTGGGTTCTATTCTTGGAGAGGAGAAAATGTTCTTTAAAACAATATGAATTATAATGGTTTTAAATATATTAGAAAACTGAAATAAAATACAAATACGCATTTACTCGAACCTCAACGTTAAACTCGATATGAGGAAAATATCGTTTGTTTATAATATGTAGGTTTAGATAGTTTAGGTTCTTTTATTACACAGTACCTATTGGTAGAAACTATTTAACCGACTTAAAAATCGAAAAGGAGGAGCTTATG